CGGAGTTTCGCTCGTTACCCAGGCTGGAGTGCAATGGCGTGATCTCGGCTCACCGCAAACTCTGCCTCCTGGGTTCAGGCAATTCTCCTGCCTCAACCTCCTGAGTAGCTGGGATTACAGGCATGCACCACCATGCCCAGCTAATTTTTTGTTTTTTTTAGTAGAGACGGGGTTTCACCACGTTGACCAGGATGGTCTCGATCTCTTGACCTCATGATCCACCTGCCTCGGCCTCCCAAAGTGCTGGGATTACAGGCTTGAGCCACCGCGCCCGGCCCAGTGACCATTCTTTAAAAGGCAAAGAGCTTAAAACTCACAAACAAGTGAGGATTTGGGTGTCTGCGGGCAGTAGTGCTCATAGCAGCAACTCCATACAGAAGTTTGAATTGAGGCTTATAACTAGTTTGTTTTTCTATTTTTATTTTTTATAGTGATGAGATCTCATTGTGCTGCCCAGGCTGGTCTCAAACTCTTGGGCTCAAGCAGTCTTCCTGCCTCAGCCTCCCAAGGTACTGAAATTATAGGCATGAGCCACTGTACCTGGCCTTTTAAAATTTATGTTTCTATTTTTTTATTTTTGTTTTTTCATTGAATAGTTAAATCACAATAAATCAGCGGTCATCCTAATACTGTGTGAAATGAAAAATTGCCCATTTCTTACCTCCAGTGGATTTAGAAAGTAATGTTTTGATGTAGAACTTGGTTTTGTCTGAGAAAGAAATGGAATTGCAACAACTACTACACCTGCCTTGAAGACGTACCTCTCATTTTCAATAGCATACTTGGGACAAATTTTTCAAACCTACTTTTTAACGCTTTTGTTTCAATCCTTTGGTCTGCTGTCTAGGATACTGGCAAGCACATTGTTTTCGAGTTTCCCGTTATATCTTTGGCCTTGTCCTGGAGTGTGGGGAGGTAAAGTTACTATTTGAAACTGCTGTAGAGAATCACAAAAAGTATATTCCAATTCCTTTTCTGGTCAAAATATGCTCCCAACCTCACGCCTTGTATGTAATACATTAAATAGTAAGCATAATGAGGAAGTCTGTTTATTTTCTATATTATAAACTCTAAATGGACTATCTTTTACGTTTACATATAATAATGGCAATAAAAACATCAATATCAAATACCTTTGATATAAAAAGATAGCAAGTTAAAAAATATAATCTAAGTTTCTTTTAAGAGCAGTAATTCTTTAGACAGACATTTTAAATAATAAGTACACATCTCAAGGCCTTACATACAAAGAGATGTTAAAAACTTAGGCGAGGTTGAAATGGCAGGCAATTAGGGAAGCTGTCTTACTCTTTTTTCATTTAAAAAGGCTGAGCACTATTCGAATATAACAGAAATTGGAACAAACTAAAACTGGGGATTTCCCAATGATTTTATTGAGGTAACTTTTCCCAATTTTATACATATACGCATTTATATATACTTAGGAAAGCTAAACAATGTTCTAAGGCACTTGGAATTGTGCACAGCAAAGTATCCTCTAATATTATACAACTAAATAGAGCAGAATTTTGCATTTTAAATAACACAAACACCAGTACGGAATTAAAAACGGGAATACACAGTCTATCTTTCAGGTTACAATAGTGGAATACAAGTACATGTGTGTGTATACTTGTAGATATTTATACCCACATACTATAATACAGTACAGATAAGAACAACAACAAAAGAGAAACTGTCATGTTAATCAGTGTACACTTCCAGTTATTTACACTCACAGATATTACGCCTGTGTAATACATAGGACTAGATCGCTCACTGGAAATCAGAAAGCATTCAGTCAGTCTGATAATGATCACAGTTTATCATTCTTATCATTTTATCTGAAGTGTGAAATAACAAAAGAATGCATATAGTCCATTATTTAAAAATCGCAGAAACACAGAAAAAAAAGAAAGAGACTTGTTTGAAGTTTTAGTAGGTCCTCATTCTGGTGATATTGGTGCAAATGTTTTGAACACACTGGCACATTTTTAAGCCACAGAAGAAATGTTAAAAAAAAAAAAAAGAAAAAGAAAAAGAAAAGTTAGTGCCTATATTTTAAGGGATGGAAGTGGTTTGACCCTTGAATCATTCTAATTATTTCTGAAGGCGAGTTAGCACTGCAGTGGCAATGTCTCATTGTGGAGGCTCTCTGAGCAATGTAATGACATAGTCAAACTATAACAAAAGTATCCAGTAGGGGAAAAGGCCCCCCGCACCCCAAGTTGGCAAGTGGCACAAATATTATTGGCATTTTCATATACCATAAAATTGACCTGAGGGTACAGTGGCATTCTGTCTTATTTACTCCTTTCAATTTATTCTTAAAAAAAAATACTGCCATTTAAAAAGATAAGAATTCTTAAGCACCACCTAAAACCTTACAATATAACCACCTTTATGACTCTGTGCTGCTTGGCCTCAAAAAAATTTAAAACTTTTAATGTTTTAAAAATTATAGTGGCTAAATAAATTCCATTCTCCTAGCCACAATTCATCCAAATAACTTTAAGACACTTCTACCATGCAGTTTTGGTGATAAAAAGCAACAAAGAGAATATGTTTCTGTATTGTTAGTACAGTTTAACATTTCACCTAAGTAAAACTCATCTTGTTTTGTGTGTGACCATCACTGAAGTATGAACAATAGGCATGCAATCCACAGTTAATCCACATTTTTGTTATAATGCAGCATTCACAAATCTTATTAGAAAAGTTGAACCGCATGACTATATTTATACAGGGGGAATTCAAGCATTTGCGTGTGAATTAAATGCTTCGTTAATAGGATAAGCAGGCGATTCACTTGGAACTTATGGGATGCAGCATAAACAGGTGAAATCTAATGGTGATTTATTTTCAAAGACCACCAGGTTTGTTCAAGTGCATTGTTAGTCTGTGTTTGTGTTTAACCCATGCAGCAATCCTTTTGACATTAACAAGAATTATGACCAAGAATGCGGTTCTAAAGTAAATCTGTAAGGCAAAGGAAAAAAAAAAGCTTTCTTCATGTATGAGCTCTCCTTTAAGTATAGATAGGGACTAGGCCAAGTCCCCATGCCCATGGAATGGCCAAGGCTGCCCAGTAACCTCCTCCTTGAAGAGCTGGCAAATTAAAGCTGCACTGAAACAAAGGCTCAATAAATGAAGGGAGAAAAACCATTCAGGACCCAAAGAAATGCAAGGCAGCAGAGACAATGTTTGGGGACAGGCACTTTTTCTCCACGTATTCTCAAATTGCAGTAGACAGTGGCATTCAGGGAAGGTGATACCAGCCTCCCAGGGAGAGCATTTGAACACGGGGAAGGCTTTTTATTCTTGGTGTTTACAATGACTGGGAACACTACTGACATTTAGTCAGCAGGGGCCTGGGATATTAAACATCTGGCAATGCTTGGGATGATTCTGTACAGCAAAGACCTGCCCAGCCCCAACTGCCAAGAGCACCCCCACTGAGAAACAATGACCAACAGTGCTTCGCTCGTATGTGCAGCTGTGCTGGCAATTCGACAAGCTAAATGACATTTTTTCATGTGTGCAGTAAATCCTAGCATAGCTAAAACATGACCCAACCTTATATGGTTGGCTTTACATGGGAATAGCTGACACAGGATCCTCCATTTCTTTGCCAGAAATTGTACAACATATACAATGGGATTTTTAAATTTGGGATGACACTGTCTTCAAAAAAGCATTGGTGGGTAAGCTTTCAGCTGCTTTCTACAAACGCTAATAGTGCTTTGCATTTCCATACATAGCTTAAGCTTAATGATTACAAAAAGTAAATTGGAAGTGAAAATGGGAATGATTTGAGGGTGCTCCACTTCTCTCCCCACCAGCTGTTGGTGCCTGCCTGCCTTTACAACAGAGCCCAATGCTGCTTCTTTGAAACCTGGGTTTGAACTAACTGGGGATGTACTTTCTCTAGAAAGAGGTTCCTATTAATTTGGTGATTACTCTGTCATTGCTTTTCCTTCTAGGACATATTTTATTTTATTTATTTTTATTATTATTTTTTTGAGATGGAGTCTTCCTCTGTCGCCCTGGCTGGAGTGCAGTGGCACATTCTCGGCTCACTGCAACCTCTGCCCCCTGGGTTTAAGCCTCCTGCCTCAGCCTCTCGAGTAGCTGGGATTACAGGCACAAGCCACCATGCCTGGCTAATTTTTGTTTTGGTTATTTTTAGTAGAGATGGGGTTTCACCATGTTGGCCAGGCTGGTCTCGAACTCCTGACCTCAAGTGATCCATTCACCTCGGCCTCCCAAAGTGCTGGGATTACAGGTGTGAGCCACCGCTCCTGGCCAATGTAGAACATATTTTAGTTCTTTAAGTTCATTCTGCTTTGTCCAGTAAAGCAATGTAGTCTATCCTACCAGCAAGTAGATAAACTAGTCAGCAGTGAAAGATCTAGCCATTTCAAGAGGCCAAGGGACAATTCTATAAATAAATCGCATCTAAGTAGTTCCTTACTACTCATAACATACTCTAATGGTGTGAAGAAATTAATTCTTATCCCAAGGAATATACTTTCCCCAGTAATGATAGGCTTCATATAGTTGGAATTTAGGAATGCTTTAACAGTTCTACCATACTCAGGGGTAAATGACATGAATTCACATATATTCTAGTAGTTTAATTCCATGCCACCTACTCTGAGGAAGATTTCTTGCTCTGTTTAAAATTTGCAGCAAGGACCACTCAAAAATAATAACAGACTGAAGAAATTTTTGAGCAGGAAAGGAAGGAAATTTTCACTATTAAGTGTGGACATACTACTTTGTGGTAGACAAGAATACCCTTTTCTATTGCAAATACAGTATGATTTTTGAAAGTTGTGTCTGACTCTATGAAGTATAAATAAAATGCCTGTTATGTGTTAATGTGGTACATATCAGAATATGCAGTGTTAATGCAATATTTTCTCTTTTAAGTGTAAGCTACTATATATATGATACATATATATTTATTTAATTTTTTTTAATGCCAATGCAGCCCTGAATTAATTGCAGGGTATAAAACCGGATCTTTTTTGACTCAGGTTTTAAGGACTCATCTCTTATTTTCAGTATTTGGTGATTTTTGAAGGGTATATTCAATTCCTTTATTTCCTTATATATATTTTCCCTTCAATTTCAGAACTTCCTGCTAACAATATATTTACTAATATTCGAGAAAGATAAGAGACTACTCTCATTATGCTACTAAACAATATGAAGCTGAAACCAGAAAGTCGGTTTTTCTGGATAAAGCAGAGAAACAGATGTGTTTGCTTTTTCCTAAATGTAAAATAGCAGTTCAAATGCCAGAATGGTTCTCTATTATAGCTTTCAGTTAAGCAATTTCAGGAATTATAGCTAACATGTAAAAATGCAAGACACTTCACATACACAGCAAATTATCAGGCAAGCTGCGTTAAGTGAATGCTGACCACCAGAGAACTATTTTGTCAGACTGATTGGTAATGAGTGTGAAGATGCTGATCAAGCCTGCTGAGCACCTTCTTAATACCTTAATGTTAATGTTTTTATTCTCCATTAGAAAAAAAACCAAGAAACTAAAATGGTCACTTCAATTTTTACATCTGTCTGGTTCTTTCCTGCCTGGGATTTTCTTGGAGATGGATTTGTTTTCTTCCTTAATCATATCTTGGGAACTCAGGAAAACCCAATTAATTCCTCGATGTCAGCCTAATGTCACACTTTTAATAGACGAAAACCTGGAATTGTGTTACCACAAAAGAAATCCAATTCCCACACACATTTATTTTTCCTAATCAACATACACTTCCTGGCTGGATTGCTGAAACGCAGGTGGTGGGCAGAGGAGCATATGCACGGAGGGTGGGCCAGGACTCTGCATCCCTTTAGGCCGGCCGGGTAGGAGACCTCCGGCTGGACGGCTGGTGGGGATATGCCTCGTCTCTGCTCTGCTAAAATAAAGCCATATTCTGCAAAATACAGCTTAGCTCATAATCCTTTAATTCTTTCTACAGCTTTTTACCCAAGCAATCATTCTAAGAAAATAATTGGTGGTTCCAATTACTTAAATAGTAGACGAGCAGTGGCTATTTTTTTTTTAACTTTTAAACTTCTCTCAAATGGAGAAATTTTTTCTAAATGTATCAATTAGTATAAAGAAAAAGTATGAGTATTTAATAAATCTGACCTATTATACAAGGAAAACAATTTTGAAATACCAGATTTTCATTTTTCATACTGAGTATATCTCATGGTAGGCAATAAAAAACTGCATCATAGGCACCAAAAGTGGGAAAAAACTGTTCCTTTTATCAATCAAAGAGAAACTTTCAGTGACATGTACTTTGAGTGATAAAATGGTGATGTCTAATATTTACCATTATAGAGCTGCCTTGTGGTTAAAAATTTAAAAAGTGTTTAAAGATGATTAGGCATAGACAATTAGAAGAGATGTTATATCTCTTGGTATTTTTCCCAAGACACTAAAATAATAAAATAAAATATAATTAAGAAAAAGCATGACTTTAGGGGAAAAAAAAATCACAAGTTAATTTTTAGGGCTGGATTGAAACACTATACAACAGACAAAACTTCAGGCAGAGACAGAACCTGGGCATGCAGAAAAATTTTGTCAAAGCAAAAATATGTCTTATCCTATTAGTGAAATGTCAACAGAATCTAGTTGCATTTTATTAATGCACAGAGTCTAACAAGAGGTGCAGTAATGCTGGTTACTTTTCTTAGCTCTAACAAGGTCCTGGCTTTTTATAATAGGCCAACCGGTATTAACATTTTTTATTTTTAAATAAAATAATCCAATTTCAAGAGGTTCTTCAAAATACCAGTGAATGGCAGGATCTAAATTTATTCACCAGGTTAAATGCTTACTTTTGGGTTGAAATAGAAAATAGAAGGCTTCCATATTATGAACCAGCAACATCTCAGAAAACTGTAGTCCAAACACTGAGAATAAAATAAACTCTATTTGGGTCTTGTTTTGTTATTCATTTCATGTGTTTTTAATTAAAGGGGCACAAAACAATTGTGACAGAACAATTAAATGCAAGGTGGTATTTACATATGTTCATAATGGTCACATGTATTTGGAAGCAGAAGTCATACTGTGCCTGTGACTCCATGGAAAATAGCTACACAACAATAGAGTGTTTCTTAATGTAAACAGTACAGACTGTAGGCTCACAGGGGACCTTCCACTACTTTAATCTCACTGATTCTTTTGCATTGACAGTAGATACTATACTGTATTTGTGGATGCAATCTGCAGATTTCTAAAATATAAGATGAAGATTTCCTCACACACAACGTAGTGGGAACTTTCCGTGTTCTGTTAAGTCTTTGGGTATTTTTTTGATCTTTGTGCTTTGTTTTCTTTTAATAGCAGCAAACCAACTTTTAAAAAATGTGGCACTAAAAAATAACTGGTCCTTATTCCCATGCAGGACTACTGCAGGCAGCACGTTTGTATCTTGCTTAAGTTTTCATTTTGGAGTCAGGTTTTTAAAACAGGTGTCATGATTGTCAACACTATCTTTGTTAGGTGAAGTATGGTTGCTTTGACTTTGGATCTAATCGAGATAAGGAAAGATCAAAATATTTATTTTTGAAGCTTGCTACAGTTTTCTAGGGTCATATGACATCTGACTTTATTCCCAGTCCTCTTATCCTGTGAAGGCTGGTACACTAGGAAAGGAATATTTTAAAATGTCAAGTGTGTATAGCTAATGCTACTTCAAAGCATGCAACAAAATTTGGGTAAGCATGCTTGTTAAAAGTCAGTAGAAGCTCTTGCGTTTAAGAAAAAGATGCATGAAAACATTCAGACTTATTTCTGGCAATTGGATTCACTGGCACAACATAAAATAATGGTACTATACTGTACCAACATAATGGTGAAACAAGAATATTCTCGGATCAAGTCTTTGAGGAATCTACATCCGGAGGTTAGATCCCTAAATCCCTTAATAAGTTCTCAGTTACCGAATAACTACTTCAAAAATACATTTATGCTTCAGTTTTCTCTTTTCTTCATTAACATAATGAAATATTTCTCTTTCTTTCTGATTTTCACTGCCCAGCAATTTTACTCTGTATTTTTCTTTCACCTACATTATAAAATTTGGCTTTCTGGTAACAGGGAGCCAGCGATTGTCTCCTGCTCATCTTCTTCGATTAAAGCTTCTGATGAAGAATGGCCACGATGTCTCTTACCATCGCTGTGCATTCTGGGCAGCAAGGGTCCCTGCATCCTTCCCTTGGCTTGTTGGAGCCATCTGGGCTGCACAGGTGAGGAGCACTTCCCAACCAAGCTGAGTCACACACTTCCTCCACCACAAGTTAAACGGAAACACACACATTCAAATCCCAGTGCAATATCAGGTTTTCAGGAAGCAAGGCTTCCCCCAAAGATGATCAGTCTCTGTTTCCAAACAGTCTCACACTTTGTTACGGACGATGAAACCTGGAGTGAGAAATAGAAACTGTGAGTCTGTGGCCTAGGATCACATTCTGCACTCAGTGAGCTGAATAAGGTGCGGTCATGTTTACAATGAAAAGCAACCCTAGATAGCCCCCAACTGAATGACTGTTTACAGACTGCTGTCATAACAAAATACTGCTATAAATATTATTGAGGAAAGCAGAGACAATGCTTAAATAAAAGATGCCGGTTATAGGATTCACGTTACACAGCAACTAAGACAGAAAACACCACTATTCTTGAGCGTCATGCTCTAACCTTTATCAAGCAGAGTGAGATGTTTCACAAACAGATTTAGGTACACCCGGTCTGTATTATAAAAGCAGCACAGGCTGGGCACGGTGGCTCACGCCTGTAATCCCAGCACTTTGGGAGGCCGAGGCAGGCAGATCACGAGGTCAGGAGATCAAGACCATCCTGGCCATGGTGAAACTCTGTCTCTAAAAAAAAAAAAGGCAGAACAACAAACAGGCACTTTTTCATTAGCTTCAGGCTCTCATCATCTCCTGCTGATGATTCCAAATCTACTTTCTACGCTTGAATTTCCAAAGCCCACAGGGCGTTTCCACCCTGATGTTCCACAGGGGTGGAACATATATATACATATATATGCATATATAAATATATATACATATTTTGTCTAGAAACCTCAGATTAGCAATTCATTTCTCTCCCTCGCCCAGCATTTGCTATTAGTCACCAAGTCCTGCCTCAACTGCCTGTCCTGGAATCATTAAAGTGCCATCTTTTGCTGGCACTAATTTCACGTTATGCTTGTTAGCCAGCCAGCTGGCTTCCTTTCCCTCCATGTGAGTTCCTGAACATTCCTCGCATTTTTGTAGCCCAATGCTTTTGGACATACTGTTCACTAATACTGAACTTCCTTCCCTTCATTTCCTATCTATGTTTTCATTTTCAAGATCAAGGTCAAAAGTTATCTTCTCCATAAAGCCTTAATTGATCAAACTCTTCAGCCTACTTCTGCGAGTCCACATTTATGCAGCTCCACCTAGCCTTTCACCCTATCTTCTACAGTCGAATGCTCATCTGCTCTGGTCAGCCGGTCTCCTAATGGGTTCCCCTGTCACAAGCTCTCTCCATCAAATCTATGCTCTTCACTGTTGCTAGCACTACCCTTATAAAATACTCAAACCATTCATTCCAGTTCTTGGGGTTTTAAAAATCTTTTATTTTTATTTTTAATTAGAGATGGAGTCTTGCTATGTTACTTAGGCTGATCTTGAATTCCTGGCCTCAAGCGATCTGCCCACCTTTGCCTTCCAAAATTCTGTGATTACAGGTATGAGCCACTGTGCCCGGCCAAGTTCTTTCTTTAAAGCATTGTATTGTTCCCCATTCCCTACAAAATAAAAGTTAAGCTGGGTGTGGTGGCATACGCCTATAATCCCAGCTACTTGGGAGGCTGAGGTGGGAGGATAGCCTTGAGTCCAGGAGTTCAAGACAAGCCTGGGCACATAGCAAGACCCTGTCCCTTAAAAAAAATTAAAATAAGAAACCAACAAAACAAAATTTAAATTTCCTGTGGCGAGTGAGGCTTTTCAGAAAGTGGACCAACCCATGTTTCTAGCGATATCTCCACCACTGCTTCCAAATACTCTCACTTCCAATTACTTGCCCTCAGAATACTTCTGCGCTAATGCTCTTTCCTCTATTTTTTTGTGGCGGGGAGGGGGGCCCGGGGGGAACAGGGTTTCACTCCCGTTGCCCAGGCTGGAGTGCAGTGGTGTGATCTCAGCTCACTGCACCTTCAACCTCCTGGGCTCAGGTGATTCTCCCACCTCAGTCTCCAAAGTAGCTGAAGCTACAGGCACAAGCCACCATGCCCAGATAATATTTGTATTTTTAGTAGAAATAGGTTTTTGCTATGTTGCCCAGGCTGCTCTCAAACTCCTGCCCTCAAGCAATCTGTCCTCAGCCTCCCAGAGTGCTGGGATTACAGGTCTGAGCCACCAGGGCTGGCCTACGCTTTCTTCTACCTTTATCTCTCTTCCCAACTGCGCTTTATGCAATCTTACTTTGTGAGTTCTCCAAACTCCCTTCCCTCCACTGCTCAGGGAAGTGCTAATAGCTCTCTTTTCTGTTCCCATAGCCTTTGGCTTATGCCAGTTATTGCTCACATTATATAATCTTTGTATATGTGTGCCTTTGCTATTGGATCATGAGAAGCTGAGGAAAGAAATGTTCTTATCCATTTTTATGTACCCATTGAATACAGTATCTGGTACATGCAGTACTTAATAAATGTTGCTGTGTTGAACACAAGCATTACAAAATGAAAAACTAAAAAATAAGAGCAGGTGAAATGAGATGGGCCATGAATTGATAACTGAGGAGCTGCTAGATGGATACAAGGGATTTATATTACTTCCGTATTTTTGACTTTCCAAAAGTCAAAAGAAAAATAACATATACCAAGCTTTACAAAAGTGGCAGACAATTTATAACTAAAGCAGGAATGTGTCCACTTTGAGTTCAGTTCTTAATCTATCACTGACTGCAACCTTGGGCAGATGTGAGGACCACCATGCCCACATTTGACACACAGAGGCAACATCACCCTTTCAGTCACTGTTTCGAGGGCCAGGTCAAGAGCCCCTGGGCAGCCTCAGGACACTGTTCCCTGCATTCCACCACGTTGGCTCCAGCCTTTGCTCAAAGGGCCCAGATACAGCTCAGGCTTCTGCTTCAGGGGGTGCACGCTGAAAGCCTTAGCAGCCACATGTTAAGCCTGCAGATGCACAGAATGCAAAAGTGATGGGAGCCTGGGAGACTCCACCCAGATTTCAGGGGATATATGAAAAAGCTTGGGTGTCCAGGCAGAAGCCTGCTGCAAGGGCACAGCCCCCACAGAGAACCTCTACTAGGGTAGTGCGGAGGAAAAATGTGGGGTGGGAGCTTCTGCACAGGGTATCCACTGGGGCACTGCCTAGTGGAATGGTGAGAAGGAAGCCACTGTCCTCCAGACCCCAAAATGGCAGTTCTTCTTTTTTTGGGGGGGTTGTGGGGACACAGTCTCACTCTGTCACATAGTCAAGAGTGCAGTGATATGATCTCAGGCTCACTACAACCTCTGCCTCCTGGATTCAAGCGATCATCCTGCCTCAGCCTCCCGAGTAGCTGGGATTACAGGCACCTGCCACCACGCCTGGCTAATCTTTGTATTTTTTGTAGAGATGAGCTTGTGCCATGTTGGTCAGGCTGGTCTTGAACTCCTGGCCTCAAGCGATCTTCCCGCCTTGCCTTCCAAAGTGCTGGGATTACAGGTGTGAGCCACCGCACCCGGCCGGAAGAGATAATCTTTGAAAACGCCATATTATCCTGGAAAGTATTCCACATTTAATTTTCAAAAATGAAGACAGTGTAAGATTCTTTCTTTTTTTCCTGCACACACCATTTGCTTATGGATCCCAGTATACAGTGACTTCCACAGTCTGGATTGTGTTGGAAGGTCACCGGCCACCAGCACACACTAGGAAAAGAAGGTGACCAATCAGGCCGGGTACGGTGGCTCACACCTGTAATCCCAGCACTTTGGGAGGCCGAGGTGGGCGGATCACGAGGTCAAGAGATCGAGACCATCCTGGCCAACATGGTGAAACTCCATCTCTACTAAAAATACAAAAAAATTAGCTGGGCGCGGTGGTGCTTGCCGGTAATCCCAGCTACTTGGGAGGCTGAGGCAGAAGAATTGCCTGAACCCAGGAGGCGGAGGTTGCAGTGAGCCCAGGTCGCGCCACTGCACTCCATCCTGGCGCCTGGTGACAGAGCGAGACTCTGTTTCAAAAAAAAAAAAAAAGGTGACCAATCAATACCGTAAATGCAGTAATGTGCTGACAAAGCCAGAGGTCAGAACTATGACCTCTCTTTAGGATAGACTGCCCAGATTTGGTAAAAAGTAACAACCAAAAGGAAAAAAAAAAAAACCCATATATTTTCCTGCTGTATCCAATCTGAAAAGGACATTTATATCCTGTTTAAATTAGCCACCTTATCTTCAAATTCGGCTCCAAAACACTGTGGTTAGAGGTACTGAAAATGCAAAATACACTTCAGGTTGTTATTTCTCAATAGTTTGCATTCATTTTAAAGTAAGAGAAGTTCAGCCTTCCCTCTTGAGAAGTTTGTCTAGGTGACAGAATGACAGTTTTAGCTTTAGGATTTAAGTTGGTGGAGCAATAAATAGATTTACTGTGCCCTAAGGATACTGAAGCTTTTTGTCCACCCTCTTTACAGAACTTTTCTGCAACTCCAATCTAAAGTCATACAGATTTTCTTCTTTCTTTTAAAACTGCAATACATTTTTTCTTATTTTCATACTGGTTAAGAGGGAGGGAATGGGAGAAAAGCTATTTTTAAGTTATGGAATTTAGGTAAACACAGCTATTTTGATAAAGTCGGTTCCTTTATAATTTAATTTAAAAAATTATTCATCTTCCTGTAAATTCATATTTTGGGGGGGGGACAGTCTTGGTCTTTTGCCCAGGCTGGATGCAGTGGTGCAATCTCAGTTCACTGCAGCCTCCACCTCCTGGGTTCAAGCAATTCTCCTGCCTCAGCCTTCCAAGTAGCTGGGATTACAGGCATGCACCACCACACCCGACTAATTTTTGTATTTTTAGTAGAGACAGGGTTTACCATGTTGGCCCGTCTGGTCTCGAACCCCTGACTTCAGGTGATCCACCCACCTTGGTCTCCCAAAGTGCTGGGATTACAGGCATGAGTCACTGCACCCAGCCCTTTCTATAAATTTATTCATATAACATAAAATATATAATTACTCACAAAGGTAAAATATTACTTTCCTGTACTTCCCTACTGGATAGAAATAAAACTCCTAAATAATTCATTCCCCTTTTCTGTAAAAGAGTTTCATTATCATGCCACATATGCTTATTTATTTTAATTTTTTTAAAGAGACAGGGTCTGGCTTTTTCGCTCAGGCTGGAGTGCAGTGGCTGGAT